TATATATATATATAAAACACTCCATTCACAATGACTCCCAAAACTGCCAACGCTCGAATGTTCCAGTATTTTAGCTTGCGATGCCATCCTTTACATCTTGTTTGGATGGTTGTTAACTGTTGTATTATATAGTATTGTTACTTTAAATATAATATTTGTTTTGATTGTTATTTAAAGTTTATTGTATCGTATCATTAAATCGGTCGTTATATAACGATGAAAATTGCCACTTTATGGAATAACCGATTTAGTGCGGTTGTATTTTTTCCTTTTTTTTCTCATCTTGCCCTTCCTTATTATTAAATAATTCTATTTTATTATATAATAATTCAATCTCATACCTTATTTTTCTTAATTTATAATATTGCAAGTTTAAGCTTCACATTGTTGGTGCGTGGCATCATGAAATGATGACAAACAATAAAATTTATCCAAATATGACATACATCAAAGCGATACAATACAATACGACACATTATGAAACGATACATAACAACCATCCAAACTCAAAGAGGTTTGTGATTATCCATGTGTTTTTTATTCTTTTTCGACCTAATACTTTTTAATGAATGCACAGAAGTATTTAAAGTTAATCAACATGTTTTTATATATGGAAAGTTGAAAAAATATTGAAATATTTAGTGTTAAATTCACAAATATTTACAAGAAAAATTCAACTATATATTTTGGTATATGTATAATATCTTCATGGTTCGTTTTCCTTTTGCATTGATCACTTTCTTGGACTTCTTTTCTTCCTTTTTTTAGTTATACTTTCTATGAAGAAAGTTGTTGAGAAGGTTACACTGAACAATTTACGTTCAACAGATGAATTTTTTGGACAAATTTATAGGAAATATATAACAAGATAGTAGTAGATCCAATGTATAAAAATTAAATAAAATATAACTTTACATAGACGTGGTTTAGTAATTAGTGCATGTCTTGCGTCAATATATGGATATCGTATACCTTTGGGAAAATGACATTCTGCATAATGCATGGACTCTAACACTAGTATAGTCAAAATTCTTTATAACAGCCTCGTTTATTCCGAATATTTCTGAATGTTATAGCAAATTATTGTTATATAAAATATACATTATAACAAAACATGACATTTGGTTTCGAAAAACGTAGCTTTTATAGTAAAATGTTATTGTATAAGAATATTGTTATAGAGATGTCTGACTGTATTAAAAAATGAGTGAATATGAACAAGTTACTTCGGCTTGAAAATGGAATAAGCTCCACAAAATAGGAGATTAAATTTTTATTTGTATTTTTGTAAGGGAAAAGTAAACAAAATAGGAGATTAAATGAATAATATATAGTAAGTATCATATAACATATTGAATAATTTTTTCAGCAAAAAGAAAATGAAGCATATGTGCTAGCTAGTGAAGCTATCCATGCCTCTACCTTACGGGCAATTAGGATTGTGTACAGATCGAATCGGATTTAGCATATTTCGGATTCAAAAAAATGCAACCTAAATCCGATCCGAATTATATCGGTTCGGATTCGGATTTTAAAGTTTGGATCGGATCGGATTTCGGATCGTATTATTATGTCTCAAAGTTGCAAACTAATATGTATATTTTCTTTGTAAAAGAGGCAATACACTAAGAAAAATTCATGTTTATACAATTATGAGAGTATTATTGTGCCAATATACCTAAATCTAGCAATTGTAAAAGTAATAACTTGGAGGAAGATGTAAATGAAGTACTAACTATCCGAAACGAAAATGTAGTATTTATACATTAGCTAATAATTTCGTATTTCGGATCGGATTAAAATATACCAATTCGAATCCGATCCGAAATCCTAAATTTTAATAAACACAATCCGAAATCCGATCCAATCAGACATTCGAAATCCAAATTTGAATGGATCGGTTCGAATTTCGGATATCGGATCCAAATGAATAACCCTACAGGCAATAGCCGCGAAGTGCTTCAAGCTTGCTATATACAAACATGTGCACGCAAGCTGGCTTGAACCACACCATAATAAGTTTTAAAATATGAAAAATACCACCCCTGTATTAATTCATGTGTATGTCACATTCCATAAATCATTCATGAGCATGCAGTAAATGTATAAATCCTTAACATATGATCGACAATATATGTTATTACAGAACAAACAACTCCAAACTTTCATCCAAAAATGCTCATGTTGTGAAACAGATATTCACTCGTCTCTTTATCCTATTACGACAAGGCAAGACAGTGTTATACTACTACATCAACATTTGTTGCGCCTTGTTGGTGCTTCATCTGCTTCTGCATCATCAAACTAAGAAAAAGAATACCAAAATTCAAGATGACTCAGCCCAAAAGAAGTTCCATGTGTGAATACTGTTGAGTCCCGCATCGATATTGAAGGGTATGGGTGGTCTCCTTATATGGACTTGGACAATCTTCACCTTTGGAGCTATCTTTTTGGGTTGAGTTAGGCTCAAGGTCCATTTAACATAGTATCAGAGCAGGACCCATCTCGATTTTCCGATATTAGGCCCCTGAAGCTATCTTTTTGGGATGAGTTAGGTTCAAGGTCCATTTAATATGGTATTAGAGCAGGACCCATCTTGATTTTCCGATGTTAGGCCCCCATAATTGTCCTCGCTCTTGATGTCCAGTCCGGGGTGTGAGAGGAAGGGGATTGGGGGGGTCTCCTTATATGTACTTGAACAATCCTCACCTCTTGAGCTAGCATTTTGGGTTGAGTTAGGCTCAAGTCCATTAATTTCTATTCTGTTTACAACTTCTGAGATTTCCAGCACCAACTGTTCGAGCAACGGGCAATGAGATATTAGACTTTCGAGCAATTCAAAAGAAATTGTGACTCTACATAGTTCCAGACTAATTAACTTATCAAATCCTTTAAAGGCCGATGGAGGATGTATTGAGCAATCACGAAGAGTCAAATGCCTCAGCTGTGAACACTCGAAAAGCTTTTAGCAAGTGGAAATGCGAAAAGTGAAGAAGGCATTTTGTATATCTTATGCCATGGAAATTGAAGAACAAGATGTTGAAGGCAATTTGTATAGGTTCCAAATTGAAGAACAAGATGTTCGATATCGTTCCTAGAGAGGAAATATATCAAGCTGTCAATCTTAGGATACTTTTTCAGTTCAGACATGGAAAGGGTAAACTTAGTAACCGGTCAAAATGTTGTACATAGTGTTTGTAAACTTAATAGAAGGGATAGCAAATTATTTGTCGTCTTCCAAATTTTATCATCAAGCGTCAATTGTGGAAGTCTGCACCACTTATACCTCCATTTCTTCGATAAGATGCTTGTCCTCACAGCATCACGCAAAGGCAAACACATTAGAATGCCATTGATAACATTCTCAGGGAGATTGTGACAATCATGTTTTTTGCGCTTAGATGGCATCATACAACACCGATAGGACTCTGCAGAAAATAGCAAGAATATAAAGGTAAGTAATCTACAAATTATCTGCATATAGTACACAGAGAACACTCTGATGAATGGCATTCTTTAGAGCAAGAATACCTACCATAAATATTTCATGAATCCAGGGATTAAAGTAGAATTAGTTCGATTAAGTTGCATACCTTCCACCCCCTCCCCCCCTCCAAACCAAAAAAATCAAAATCAAAATCGACATTCTAACTCGAGGGTATGGCATAATGGTCAATGAAGTGGGATGAAAACATGAGAGAATAAGGTTCAGTTACAAGTGGCCCGCAAAGTCGCTAGGGCACCGTTCTTTAGAAGATTCTGGCAAGCCCCATTTACTTCTAGAAGATTCAAGAACATGCCCCGAAACTGAGCTGACTTTGCAGTGGCTTCACCCGGCTTAACCACTAAGAACCCCACTGCGCAAGGAACATGAACATCGAATAAGTGTTCTGTAACTTCCTAATCTTCTTCACACATTACACACCTATTGCCATATTTGTTGTTGTTGACTTTCCTGAAATAAGATTTTGTATGCGGACTAAACTGGAAAGTACACATCTTTGTGTTCCTTCCATATTATCCTGTAAGGTGTAAGTTGCAACCCTTGGAAGAAATCACTCGTAGAGTTGGATAGATGAGAAAAAATCACCTAATATTTACGTTTTCAGTGATATTTGAACCTAAGACCTCATGGTTTTCCTCCTACTTCACTCGTTACAGAACCTCCATAACTATTTCATCGGGACTGATATCATGAAACCTTAAATTTCTAACTCTAATACCTCTATCCTTATTACTATTAGACGTCGTTTGGCTGAGGGATAACGGATTATTACCCCGGATTTCAGGATTAGCTTATCCCACGTTTGGTAAGTTTTTGATTTCTGGATTATTAATCCTTGAATTGTTTATACTATTGTGGTATTATTTTTATCTCCACTCCAAGTGAGATAACAATTTCGGGATTAATAATCCAGGGATTAAACACCAAAATGACACGTCTGTCATTCTTCAAAACTCTTCTCCCAAAGTCCTTCAAGAAAGCCAAAGCTAAAATTAAAAATAAAAGTTTATTCCACTGTTTCTAGTTTAAAACAAACAAATGTTTTATATTATACTTTTTATATTTCATTTTTAGTCAAATGAACCAAACATCTAACAATAAAAGTATATCCACCAAGTAATGACGCCATTCTTAATCCAATATTATAATCCCATCATTGTAATTCAGTATTACTTGTTATCAGTATTTCTTTCATTTTTTATTTTGTTATTATAGTCTCAGTTTTTTAGATATCTTGTACTGTTAATACTTCTATCGGTGTTTCTTTCATCTTTTCTTTAAGTGAGGGTCTATCGAAAACAACCTCTCTACCGTTCAAGGTAGGAATAAGACTGCATAAATTATACCCTCCTCAGACTCCAATTGTGGGAATACACTAAGTGATTGTAGTTATATTATTAATCCCAGAATAACTTGTTCACCAACCAAATAACTCATTACTGTTTTCCAATTAACCAGATTGAAAGATCTTTTTCCCATTTTCATCTTTTGTGAGAGAAACGTCAATGATTTCTTATGCTTTTACAAAAAAAAAATAATAATAATAATAATAATAAGGCTAAAAAATGGAAGTTACTCCCAAAACGAAACTAAAAATTAATACAGAGTATTGAAACAGAACATAAGAGACTTATTATTAAAGTTTATTCAAAAGAGAATAAATGATAAAACACAAAAATAAATAAATGATGGAAGCACAATTTAAACTTACAAGAAGATTGCTGATGATGGAAATTCTAAAAGGATAAATTATTTATTAGTAAAAATTGAATAAAATCATAAATATTAAGTATTTTTAATGATATTATGGTTGCAATTTCCATACATTCAACGCTATATATATTACAAGTTTGTCGTGGAAGGATACAAGTGTCACCACATCTATAAAGGGATTAATCTGTATATGTAAAGTTGATGTGTATTTCTTAATTAATTATCTCTTTGATTTTCTAAGAAGTTGAAGAAATATGTGATTTCAATAGAATAATAAATGTCTTTATTTAATATATGCATTTCTAACTTTATTTTTTAAAATTTAAATCGGATGTTTCTCCATACATAAAAAAGAATGTGAAATTATAGTAGTACAGATAAAAACAAATTAAAATACAAAGAAATAAATTTGCATACGATTAAACAATAATTTAAAAAAAAGAAAAAGAAAAAGAAAAGTAAAGTTACATCCACTTGGATCGTTCGCCGTTTCTATCTTGAAAACACAATGAAAAGATGATTTTTTAGATGTATTCGTTTCTTTTAAGAGACTTGTTCTTTCATAGCCGCTTGAAGATGGTTTTGATTAATATTTTTAAAATGAAAAAAAAAAAAAAAAAAAAAAAAAAAAAAAAAAAAAAAAAAAAAAAAAAAAAGATCCCATCTTAGTATTATCATGAATTCAAGCATGATTTCTTTTTTACGGTTCTTGTTTTTATCACTTCCTTTAGTGGAATTAACTACTAAATTTTATTTTTAGCAATGTTATTTATTGGGATGTTCCAAGTTGGTATATTCCTTAAAACTGTTTTAGAAATATTCAACAATATATGTATTTTGACCTTTAGTATACATTCAAAATACATTACCATCAGAAAGAATATACTTGAGTAAACAGTAATTATTGATATTAGTACTTTATTATGCTATTTGTCATATTTAATGATATCTTTAAGCTTATTTTAGCTTAATTTTAAGCTTGGTGTAGCTTAAACAGAGTGAATGGAAAATGGTGGGAAAAGAAATGGAGGGAAGTGAAATTTTGAATAAATGCACTTTGACCCTCATTGGAAGATGGAAAGAAAATCTATGTGTATATATAGAGAAGATCTTCTTCTAGCTCTTAAAGAGTTGAGAAGAAGGCAAGCCTCGCGTCGTCATCGTCGCTCGCTCGGCTTGGCTTCGGCTTCGGACTCGGACAAAGATTGATTGATTAAATTCGTTTTTAATTTTCTCACAATATTCATACCTGTTCCTACAGTTGTGGCTGTTCTAAAAGGTTGCAAAACCTTTTCAGAAACAGTGGGAAATTGGCTATAAATATACCTTGAATCCCAGAATTTTTACTTACTAAATTTTCTGATCTTCTTCTTCTTCTTCTTCTGCACAAAATATTCCAGTGTGTTTTGCAGCCTTCGAGTGGTTCGCTGTTCATCGGTGTTTTTGGTACCAACACTCCTATGAGTTAAATCGTTCTATCCTGGGAGGATATATTCCAATACCTCGGGTACTTGAGGGGAATAATTTCCTTATGGACACAACTGTGGAAGATCTGGTCACAGATCCTCTGATTGTCGTCTCCCGAAAAAGGATAAGAAGAAGGGACATGTCAACATAGTGGAGAAGAATGATAACATTGATGATCTTTGTGCAATATTTTCAGAATGCAACTTAGTTGGAAATTCGAAGGAGTGGGGGTGGATTGACTCCGGAGCCACTCGACATTTCCATGGGAAATAACTCAACATTCAAGATTGAAGGTTATGGGAAGATATTCCTAAAGATGGCTTCCGGCAAGGTGTTAACACTCAACAATGTTCTTCATGTTCCTACTATTAGGAAGAATTTAGTTTCTATTTCCTTACTTGTGAAGAATAGATTCAAATGTGTATTTGTTTCTGATAAAGTTGTTATAAGCAAGAACGAAATGTGCGTTGGAAAAGGCTACCTCACGGAGGGCCTTTTCAAACTAAATGTAATGGTTGTCGACAGTATAAATAAAATTTCAGCTTCTTCTTATTTGTTGGAGTCAAATGATTTATGCATATTCGTTTAGGACATGTTAATAATAAAACCTTGAGAAAATTGATTAATCTAGAAGTATTGCCTAAATTCAAGCGTAATAAATCAAACTGTCAAATATGTGTTGAATCTAAGCTTGTAAAACATCCTTATAAGTCTGTTGAAAGGAATTCAAATCCTTTAGACTTAATTCACACTGACATTTGCGATATGAAGTCGACACCATCTCGAGGTGAGAAAAAGTATTTTATTACTTTTATTGACGATTGCACTCGATATTGTTATGTTTATTTGCTTAATAGTAAGGATGAAGCAATTGAAGCATTTAAGCAATAAAAGAATGAAGTGGAGAATCAATTGAATAAAAAGATCAAAATGATTAGAAGTGATAGAGGTGGAGAATATGAATCTCCATCTGCAGAAATATGTTTTGAATATGGAATTATCCATCAAACTACTACACCTTACACACCTCAATCCAACGAAATTGCGAAAAGGAAAAATTGGACATTAAAAGAAATGATGAATTCTTTATTAATAAGTTCCAAATCATCGCAGAGTTTGTGAGGGGAAGCTATCCTTACAGCTAACCGAATACTCAACAAAGTACCCCACAGTAAAATGCAATTTATTCCATATGAAAAATGGAAAGGAAGAAAACCTAACTTGAAATATTTGAAAGTGTGGGGGTGTCTAGCAAAGGTACAAGTTCCTTTACCTAAAAGGGTTAAAATTGGACCAAAAGCAGTAGATTGCGTTTTCATTGGATATGCTACAAATAGTAAAGCATGTCGATTTTTGGTCCATAAATCCGATAATTCCGAGATTCATGTTAATACGGTAATGGAATCAGATAATGCTGAATTATTTGAAAGCATTTATCCATATAAAACTGAATGTGAGTCGTTAGATCTAAACGACCTCAGGAAGAACCAAAGGAAAATACTCCAAGTGTAGAAGATCCAAGGCGTAGCAAACGTCAAAGAACATCTACTTCCTTTGGACCAGATTTTGTGACATTCTTGCTTGAAAATGAATCTCAAACTTTTAAAGCAGCTATATCGTCTTCTGATTTATCGTTTTGGAAAGAGGCAGTCAATAGTGAGATTCAATCAATTTTGGATAATCATACATGGGAATTGGTTGATCTTCCTCCGAAAAATAAGCCTTTAGGTTCGAAATGGATCTTTAAATGGAAAATGAAAGCTGATGGCACTATTGACAAATATAAGGCAAGACTTGTTGTCAAAGGTTATAGACAAAAGGAAGGCCTTGATTACTTTGACACTTAGTCTCTAGTAACGAGGATAAAATTTATTAGGATGTTAGTGGCATTAGCGGTCGTGTATGGTCTTGAAATCCATCAAATGGATGTTAAAACAACTTTCTTAAATGGAGAATTGAAGGAAGAGATTTACATGGAACAACCAGAGAGTTTTGTGGTTCCTGGTAGAGAAAAGAAAGTGTGCAAACTTGTTAAGTCGCTTTATGGACTTAAACAAGCACCCAAACAATGGCATGCCAAACTTGACCAAACAATATTGGCAAGTGGGTTTAAAATCAACGAGTGCGACAAATGTGTTACATTAAAAA